TAGTGCCCAATTCCCCTCCCATAGGCCTCTCTTCCCCATGCTTAGCTACCTTCACTTCTTCCTTTCCCTGGAGAAATCTTGGAAGGGTTGAAGTGATGTCTCTGCAGGTGGTCTGCATTGCAAGGCAAACGAGGTGAGGGATTTCAGACAAGTCATTCAAGAGGTAATTCAGGGACCACTTAAATTGCAATTGTCCCTCTTGACTCTGCTGAATTGTGTCTAAGTGACGAGCACATGAAGCCAGTTCTGTAATCCAATCTCTCGGATACTAAGGATCGAAAAGAGAAAAAACAAGTGTTAGAAGAACACATTTCTGCTCCACATCATCAGCTGCCACACAGAGCAGGAAAATGGACATGAGAGTGACATCAGGCAGGGCCAGCCAAAGACACTGGCTAAGGGTAGAACAAAACAGAAGTAGAGCTGGAAAGGGCCTATAAGGCCATCGAGTCCAACCCCCTGCTCCACTTCCACATGCAGTCACCCATCTGGCTGCAGGGCTGCACCTTTCCAGCTTAGCAAAGGTGACTCAGCATGCGAGCTTGAGGTGCAGCTATGCAGGCAGGACCTAGAGACAGATTATAATTTCATTTCCATTTGGTATCTGATAGGGAGAGATAACTTTTCTCCAAGTTCTTCATATTTGGGACAAAAAGGACCTGATTTTTATTTCAATAATGTGGGAGACAAACATAAATGCCAGATTCATTCACACAGGTGCAGGACATTGGGTGCTTTGCTTGGATCCATGTGCATCCAGCCTTCTTAGCACTTCCGAGAACTAAACAAAGAAAAGTTCTCCCAGTTGGTGCCAATTGAGATTTTTGTTTTTGCTTGGTCCCTGCATGGTGGAGGTGAATTGGGGGAGGGGGTTGTGCCTGAGTAGGAAGGTTTAATCTTGACACAGTTTGGGGACCCACATATTTACATTAAAGAAAAAAAGTTAGGATCAGTTGCACACTTAATGCACCATGCAGTTTGGCTCCAGTGATGTGTTGGTTCAGCAGGAATAAGTACAAGAAAGGCTCTTGAAACCAACCACTCTCTTGTGATTTAATCCTGATAGTTTCCAAGATTGGCTTCTGGATCTTTTCAACATACCAAGAAAAGGTGGGGAGGAACTGCCTCTTCTTTCTGACAGGCTCCTTCACATCTGCATGGCAGGCGGGAACCTCATATTCCTCCCTCTGCTAGAAATAGTTTTACCTGTTGACTGGTACAGATGGGTGAGAAATGTGTTACACTTTGTTTCTATCAGTTTAGCAAAATCTCAAGTTCTTCATGAGAGAAAGAACTTGAGATTTTAAAAGCTAAAAGCAAAACTCTGAATTTTATGGGAAACAGCTGTGTCCTCCAGCACCTTGCCATCCTTCCTTGTCCTCCAACATCTGCCACTTGATGCAGAGTCTTCATTTCACTTCGCTGCTCTGGCATATGGACATGAGTTCAGCTGCACTAAACATTCAACCAAGGTAGGGAAGAACCAGACATTTGCTTGCCATTTTCAGAGAACGACCTGTTTGTCTTACAACATGTATTTCCACCCTGGATGCTTAGGAGTGGGCTAACCCTTTTTGCAAGAATACAGAGAGAAAAATGCTACATTTGCAGATCAGTCAAATGGATGAGAAGATTCACCCTATGCTGTCAACAGCAAAGATGAGGAAACAAATCCCTAGCTCATGCCATTCTGAGTAGTTTCACTTGGCCAGCAAAGAGCTTCTTGGCAAAGCTAGCACAGCATAATGTTCATTCCACAGCAAACAGAGATATGGCATTTGAGAGTGCAGATCTGCAGAATGTAATCTCTTAAAACTACACTTGCGTTGGAAGTGACAGATACTGTGTAATGAATACACAGTGATTTATCTAACTAATGTTCTTCTCCAATAAAACCAAGTGAAAGGGTTTACATGGTTCAAACTTCATCCAGCAAGATTCCTTCATCCTCACACTCTCTAATTTGGGAGCCTCCATGTTGCACAGACAAGGTTAACCTGAGTAGCACGATCAGCATTTCTGGACAATGGAAAGAAACATCTGTCACTGGAGCCCAAAGGCCTTAATTCAGATTGCATCTCTAACAAAGTCCCTGCCCCTCTGTAGGCAAACCACTGTTCCTTCAGCCTTGTACAAAGTTCCACGAAGTCATACCTAGTGCAAGCAGAACATTTTTTTAAGGCAAAAAGGGCCTATAGCAGGGAGTTACCATCAGGGCCTCCTCAAGTGGCTTGGGATTAGATATACCTGGAACCTGATCTATACATGCAGTTGAGAACATCAGAGGTTGTCTTATACTGAGGGAAATCACTGGAACACGTAGCTTAGAACTGTCCACACTGACTGTCCACAGTGGCTCTCCAGAGTTTCAGGCAGGATTTTTTCCCAGCTTTACTTGAGATGCCAGGGATTGAACCTGGAACCTTTCAACTAAGACTGTCCTGCTTAGAAAAAAAAGGTGAATGAGGGAAGACATGATAAGGTTTTTAAAATAATGCATAGTGTAGAAAAGGTGGAGGGGGAGACTTTTTCTTCTTTCTTCCATATCACTAGAATGCAGTGTCAACCCATGAACTGATCCGTGGGAGGTTTAAGTCAGATAAAAGGACTTTTTCACACAACATATAGTTAAACTATGGAATTTGCTGTTACAGGGCCACCAATAGATGATGATGATGATGATGATGATGATGATGATGATGATGATGATAATCTGCATGGCTTTAACAGGCAATTGGATGAATTCATGAGGAGGAGACTATCAGTAGCTACCGGCCTAGGAAGGATTAAATCATAAATTACCTTGTTGAGTTCTTCTGGGTCCAGGAAGGGTTTCTTCAGGACAGGTATCACCACCACTTGTTTCAGATGACCAGGGACCATCCCTTCTCGTAAAGAAGCATTAATCCCCTCCGTGATCCAGCTGGCACGTCCCTCCCCACTGGCTTTTACTAACCAAGAGGAGCAAGGATCCAGTACAAATGTAGCCACACAGTCCTGGCCAAGCAACTTGTCACCATCCTCAAGCTGTACTAACTGTAACTCATCCAATGCAACTGGACCTGCTCTGGATAAGAGTTGAGCAGGGCTGTCAAGGAAGCGACACTTTGAAGGGCTTTCATTGATGGAGCTGCATAAGTCAAAAGTGACTTGATGGCGTGTAATGCCAACAAGCAGGACTCCCACCAAAGCATTCAAGAGGAGCAAACATCTGTATAAAGACAGGTTTGTCTTTTGCTAGAGCTTACTAGGGTATTTTCCCCCAATACATCCAGATGAGGCTGAACCATTTGTGATTTAAACCCCTCCGTTTCCTTTACTTCCATTTGGCCGTATCTCATTAAGAAAATAATGCAGCTTGTGAAAACATGTTCTAAAATGGTATTACTACTGGCCTGGGATTAGGGTTTTTATAACACATGTAACTGGGGAGAGAATACCAAATTCAATTTACAGTAATGTCAAGGCACAATAAATATATCGGTGGTGATGAGGGGGAGATGGGCAACTAACCTGCTGATAGGAAAGCATCAACAAATAAACTTTTTGTGCTAGTAATTAGGCGCACAAGATTATTATATGTTTAATTGACTAAAGTGACAATTTGGAATTACATCTAGTTGCATTTAATTGGATTTGGAGCCTCCAGAGGGAAGGAAACCGAGAGGGATATTGGAAGAGCAGCCATAAAAAGCAAAGTGGTTTTTTGAAGTCTGTTAAAGCCGGCATTAATAACCATTGCACAATAGTTCTTAATGCCCTAATAAGAGAAATGTGGCTTTTGCTATAAACATTCAGGCCACTAAAGAATTTGTACCTCCCCCACCCCACCCTCCATACACACATCCTACATGCCACAATGACAAGCATAGCTTAATCAAAGGTGAGGTGTGTTCGACTGCCGCAGACCGAGCTCTCCGACTGCAGCGTTGTACCGTAGCAAGTCTTCCACCGCTGTTCCACAAGAAAGCTTGACTGTATGGAACAACTGCATTATAGTGCATACAATAAACGATTCGATACTTGAAGGCAAGCCAGAACAAAACACTTCTGAATGGCCACTGAATATTTCTTCCCAATTACAAATAGGAAAATAAAACCATCAGAGTAGGAGGGTTTTCTCACACTTCTATTACCTAATAAAACAGTTCTCTGATATCTCCCACTGAATGTTAATTCTTCTGCCAATGGCTGCTCATTATGAGGATACACCCATGTAAGTAGTCCGTGGTCAGCAACTACATTTGGCCTTACGGTCCCTTGGCAAGGATGGAATGGAGATGCCATGACCTTCTGTTAAGCAGCAACCAGAGGGGTGACTGCTGGAGAAGGAGGGGCAGTCAGAAAGCCCTGAAGACATGGCAGTATCATCATCCCAAAGGGTCAACCCCCTTTACCACACGGGTCTCATGCTACCCAGGGATTGGCCAAAGCAGGAAAAGAAGAAGGGCAAAGGTATCTGAGGTGCAACTGAATACTAGGACCACTGGATTATTCTTTAGTATTCTGGACCACTAGATGATTCTTTGCAAGCTCTCCTCTCTCCAGGAAATGAAGGGTGATAAAAATAGTCTAATATAAGAGCAATAAAACTGAGCTCCGGGTCACATTAGAACAAGTGTGTGGAGTACCTGAGGCCCCACAACCACAGAGCTACTGCACCTGCCGGACAGCTATTCCTAAACTCCATCCCACCTCGTAGGCCTCTGCTTCTGAGGAGGAAAGGGTCAATGTGGGAAGATACCCATCCAACAAGGTCCCATTAATGCAGATTCTCCCTCCGGGCTCCGTATATGCCTCTGGATTGGTCGTGGGGACAATTCAAGAGCAGCATTGCAGTGGGCCAGATTTTTCATGGGAGCAGCCACTTCCCAGCTGGGGTCACATCCCTGTCGTGTGATCCATTGGTCTTCATGACCCAAGCTTCACCTCCAAGAATTCTCATCAGCCTCCTTCTCTCCTTCCGTGTTTTCAATTCCCTATTCTGTTTCCTTTGTTAGGAGCACCATGGTCGCAGACTACATGTACTGGCTGTCTGGAGGAAGAGAGACACAGACCAGCAAGCTCATCAAACTGTATTGGCAGGTAAAAATGGATGGCCCAGCTAGGAGGGAGGGGCCACTGTAAGAACCCCGATGAAGGATTAGTGCTTGAAAGACTGCTGCTTCAGGTAGCTCTGGGGCTTATCAATCAGGAGACCATTCTACGGCAGTAACATATTTCTAATGAAGTAGATTTTTTCCAAGTCTAATTTTAAGGGTAAAATTCAAAGTGGTTAACCCTTGGCTCATACCTCAATTTTACAGAAAGCCATAAAATGTCATCTTTGATACTGTATCACCCCAAGTTCTATAGAATATATATGATATACAGACCTCCCTAAACAAAACTCAGTGCAATCCTTTCAGATTCTTTCCTGCCCTTTGCATACCAGTGAGAGTTGATTGTTAAAAAAAATGTAATGTAACTGACCTTATAGCACCAGAATCATTGTGTTTCCCCAAGAAAATGTTTTCTGCAGAGTAAGGATAATAAGCAAGATCAATACATTTCCCTTCATAATTTTAGTAGAAATAAATCTTTTGACATTGCTGAGATCAAACTGCTTGCAGGGTTTGCGAACATGATTATCAGTACTGAAATATTATTTGCTCTCCTTGCTAAAAGTGTCCACATGCACTGCTGCAGTCCTTTGCATGTTTACGTGATCTACCTTCTTCAGTGGGACCTTTGAAATGTAGGAAATCAGGACATCTTTGCCATAACTGGAGTAACTCTGATTTCCCAGTTCAAGGAGACCTTCTTTTTCCCTTCTTGCCTACCTGCTAGAGGTGGAGTAGTCCAAATTTGGCCTTGCAGGATCTACTCTGTGTTTGATTAGAACACCATAATCCACCAGCTGGAACCAGGTGAACAAGACATATACTTAGTATGAAACAATTCTGAACCTAGGAATTTCGTTCATGTACCATAAGAGAATAGAGCTCATTGTCTTTCTACACAAAAATCCACTCTTAGATACCCATTTCCCTTCATTTCAGCAAAGGGAAAGGGGGGAAGTTGCTAACCTAGTTCGCAAACACTGTTAACCAGTGCTTTCTTTAATCCATGTTTAACCCACAGACTGGGTTCACATGTCACAACAAGCTACCCTGTATGCTTACCACAGTTCATCGTTTTTTACCTCAATGTGCCTGACAGACAATCAAGCTCATGGTGGGAACTTTCCTCCCTCTCAACAATTCCTTCCCATTCAGTCCTCCAGATGGTATTCCAGGAGGCACTGAGGACTCCTCCACTTAACACCATTTAGCCATGGTGATGAGCCAAGTTTGGCTTGTCACAGTCTTTGAGCAATCTCTATTGCACGATGGAGTGAGACCACTGGAGCAGAAGGGAGTTTGCCTGACCCACGCTCAGGCAAAAGGGGAAGGGGAATCAGCCAGGTGATGCTGCAGAAAGGAGCAATGCTCCTCAGCTGATTCCCTCTTTGCCCCTTGTCTACCTAAAGGACACCTCATCTCCCATGAACATGAACAGGGGAGAAGAATCAGCTGCATGACCATGCCCACTACGGAAAGCACCACTCAACTCATGCCACCCTCGCCCCCCTTTTTTGCTCCTGCTTGCAAGAAAGGTGCCCTGGCCTTAGCACCCACCCAAGCACCTTTCTTGCAAATGGCAGCAAGGGGGCAGGGGAAGCACTTAGTCCCCCTTCTCATTGCCAACTGTGCCTGTGCAGTGAGGGTGGGTTCGGGATTTCTTTATGAAAGCAGAAGTGAGAATGGTGGGCAGGGGGGGAATCGGCAGAGCTGCACAGCCCCCAGCTGTGCAGCACCACCCAGCTCATTGCCCACTCCTGCCCCAAAGAATATGGAAACTACTGGAGGTAGGCAGACCATGCAAAATGGCAGCTGTCACTGGTGCTCTTGCCAAGCAGCTCTCTTGTTCTGGCCAAATTGTTTCTATTTGGTTCTAAAGGCCAAATAGGCAATGCTGAAATACCACAGGGAGGTTAAGATGACATGGCCAACCAGAAGTGCTAAAGGGCTATGATGGCTTGTCCTGTCCCGTGAGCCTGCCCATGATCCTTACCAGAATCCTTTCTAGGGTTTCTCCAACTTTCTCACTTCCTGGGTCAGTTCTTTTCACCTTCCTCACCTGCTCTCCCCTTGTATCCCAGGTGCCTTGGCAGTGCTGTGGTACTGGCATACATAGCAGAGAGAGTGTTGCTAATCTTATCCCCCACCTCTGAAGCTGATAAAACAACCCATGAACTCAGTCATGCTTCTTGGTTCACATGTAACAACAACTCCTGGTTTAAACACTCTACAGATCTAAACCTATTGGTTCTCTTTCTTGGTTCATTAGGGCTAACAAGCCATGGTTTGTCTGCATGGTTGGGCCTACACATAACAAGAACCCAGAAGTGAACTAACCATGTCTTAAATTAAACATGGGTTAGCATTATATTCAAACCAAGATGTTCTTTCTGTTGTTCAACAACTGGGAGTCAGAAACCCTTTCTGATCTAATGTAAATCACCCAGAGATCTACTAATAAATCCTGACCTCTCTATTATTTATTTGCTATGTTTATAGCATGCTTTTCTACCAAAGTCAGTGAACAATAATAAAGCTGAGAGTAAAGCAAAATCCAAAGAAAATTTTAACATACAAACAATTAATTAAAAACACAATTAAATGTAACAATAAAAGAAATGGGCAACCCCTAGAACAATCAGAACAAAACAACAAAAAGCTGTCCCTCTTTCCCTTTGCACTAAAAGGGACTGTTGGGCATCCAGAACCTCTCATGGGCAGAAAGGGTTCCTAGGATGAAATACCACCACCACTCTCCTGAGATGTGCTTCTTCTTGCTGTGTGGTTTACTCTCAGGAATGGCCAAATTAAGAACCCAGCACATGGTATGCTATTTCCACCAGGTCTTGGGAGTTCCCATAGAGTTGACTGCCTCTGTAAGCACTGGCAGGCCCCTGGTCCTGTGACTCACATACAAAAGCAGCCCTGGAGGCGTGCCCAGAGCCCAGGTTGACAAGCAGTGGCAAATTCAGCAATGTAGGAACTCATCATAACATTCCCCATATCCCCACCCTCAAAGAGAGTTCAGACATCTGAACTCTTTATCACTTTGTTTAACTGGTCTCTGACTTGGATGCTCATAGCACTCCTTGGATCAGCACCTTTTCCAGGTTTTTGGCTTTTGTTTTGCTTTGCTTCCTTTTACACTTGGCAACCTACCTGGTTGTGACCCTTTCAAATGAACTTTCAGTAACAAAACTGGTTAATGGGATGGGAACCTAGCCACATCCAGGGTCCCAGCTGATCACTACAGAAAGGGGTCGAGTTCCCTGCCACTTAGCTGTGCTACTTTTTAAATAGAAAAAAGGTGATGTCTTCCTGAAAAGTCTCATGCAAACCTTCAAGCCATCCTCATTTCTCACTCTCCTCTTTTGAGCTGCTGTTCTGGGTTCAGGGCCGTCCTTTATGCCTTGAGAAAATAATAAATGATCACGGATTGCCATGCTTTACAGCCATGGGGGATTATTATCTCCATTGACCTCCTACATAATGTGCAGGGCATAGCATTTCACTGGCAATTCCCTCTCAGACCTAGCACCTTCCATCCGTATCTCTCCCACCCTCCCTTACCAACTGCCCGGCAGATACGGCCTCTCTTCTAAAGATTTCTCTGATAGGAAATCCATCATGCTCCCCCGTAAGCTGTCTGACTGATTAATTACGGGTTTGTTTGTTTTTCTAACTGTGCTTTGTTTTCTTGTCAAATTTGTCTCGATTCTGCTTGTGCCAAGCAAATCTTATTACAACATATTTTGTAAGATAAAAAGATCTGTCTGCTGACAGGTATCTTTTCCCATATAAATAAGTGCAGACCAGCTCATCTCACGCATGCTGCGTGGCCACACCTGGCCTGCTGTGGTTCTTGCCACCTCGTTTTGACCACCCCCCACCTTGTTCCTCTTGGTCATGCCTCTGCCACCCATCAGGTGGGGGGTGGTATAGAGTTTTTGCATGGGTTCCTACCCTCATCCATTCTAGAAAGTTGAAAGTCTCCCCTAAGACTTAGTTACAGGAAATAAGAGATTTAAGCTAAAATAGAGTGATGTTCGGGCCCTGCTCCTTTGGCTTTCAGACCCATTCCTGTTGGGAATTGGCTCCCAAGAACTTCTCCAGAATTAATTTTGGCTCTCAGGCTAAAGGAGATTCCCTACCCTTGACTGGCTTATTCTCCACTGTCCCATATTAATTTGGGGTCCGCTGGTGCAGGAATGCTGATGGCTACCTTTGAACTTCAGCCTATTTGGACTGAATGAACTGGGACTCACACGCCCCCTTCCATCAAGCTCTCTGCTGCCTGTTGCCCCCTGCCCATTCCCCACCTTGATCTGTTCTCAGAGAGACCATCCCAAGACAGTTTTCTGTCTGAGCCAATGGAGAAGATGGTGCCCTCAGCCCACGCCATTCTGAATATAGAAGCGGACTGGACTAACAGGTGGATTAGAATTCAATGCTGGTGAGGGGGCAGCATTCTTGGCTGCCAAGCGATGGCGGCTGGCTAGATTAAGGAGTGTGTGTGGCACACCCAGCTGTGTTCTTCCACACTTCACCTCTGCCCTGCATCACCCACCGCTGCTGCCTGGAGTGCCCTCCATGGGAATTAAAACCAGTCAGAAAATGGCTGCGTTACATGTCTGTTCACAAAATGGCTTCCATGGGGACATAGCTAGTCAATCAAAAATGCTTGATCACAAATTTGCATGGATTGTACGAATTCTGACCTTCCCCCCACCCCCACCATCACATTAAAACTGACAACAGTGTCTGCAGACTACTCGATAAAAGTCACAGATCCAATACACGGTAACTTTCCAGGAGCTCTCCATGGTGCTGTACCTAGCCAACGTACATGGAGAGTTACTACCAAGCTGTAATTCAACCTGCAACTGGTGAGAAGCCCCACTAACGCAGGCATCACCAGCCTCCCCAGGTGGTAGACTGTGCCTTAAGCTATGGAAACGGAAAGGTATCTGTTGCCAATGCCAT